TGGCAGCAACAGTGGGCGCGGCGGAGCTTTCTGGAGAATTTTGACACCGCCGTTGTCGTAGTGCGCCGAAGCAGCACCGTATCGGAAGCAGCGAGGGCCCTGCTCAAGAGGGCTGGGTGGCAAGGCTGGATTGCCCAGCTGCTCCGGGCAATCCCTGTGAAGGCGGGCTTCATCCATATCTAAAGGAGGCTCCAGAGGTGGCCACTGGAGATCTTGCCTGGCCACAGGTGAGTGAACCATGAGGGTCTTTAGTACTCTGGGCAAGGAGGCTGCCCCGAAAGTCGGCGCGTCATTTTTGCGCACCATTTGCAACGGGTGGTGCACACGGCGTAGGTTTCAGACGAATGGTTTCTGCATTTTCGGGAGGGGCCGCTGCAGGGAAAGCGTCGAACATTGTGTTCGTTGCATGGTTGTGCGGCAACTGTGCTGCGTGCGCTTTGCATGGCCACCGCCTCCAGCAGAAGAGGCGTTCGATTTTCTGTTTGCGTGCCGTCCAGCACAGAGTTTGTTTCAGAGGGGTGGAGCTTCTCGGGAACTGCCTGTTTCCCTCTATCTGTTTGTCTTTCCTCCTCCTCCTCCTCCTCCTCCTGTCCGTTCCCCGCCCCCGCCTGGAGGGGGGCCGGGACCTTCCAGGGCCTCAAAGTGGCCCCTTGGGGGCTCTACCCGGGCTCTGATTGGCTCGCAGGCGGGTCGAAAGTCGACACCGCCTTGGCGCTTCCCATCTCCCTGTCGGGGTCGGTGTTGTGCTGATTCGGTGTTGAGTCTTGGCCTGTTCTGCGGACCTCTTGGTGCCTGTTTTGGGCCCCGAGGCCTCGCAGGCCGTCCTGGGGGGCCGGCGGGTTTTTGCACGGAGGCTTACCGGCGGCAGCGTTAATATCGACGCTCGTCGCGCTTGTTCTCCATCCTGCACTCCTAGGAAGCCCAGCGCAGACTCCTCTTACAGCTTATTTCAGTTTCTCATGTGCTTCGCTGATCTGGCAGTGGATCGCCGGCGGACGCCGTCCCGCGATTCTCACACGGCACGTGTGAGCATTCATTATGTCAGTTTGTGTCCCCTCTTGCTCCTCCTCCTTTCCCTCCTCCTCCTCCTCCTCCTCCTCCTCCTCCTCCTCTTCTTCCTCCTGTGTCCTCTGCTTGCCCCTTCGGTCCTCCCAGCCCCCCCGGCTCGAATGATGCGATTTAGGGTGGCTTCGTATCGGCCTGCGTCTTGTCTACTAGTGTGCGTATTATATAGACCGCTGGCCAGGTCATATGGGGTGCCCGCACAACGTTTTTGTCCAGACTCCTCCTGTCCTTCGCGTTCCTTCCCCTCCCCCTCCTCGCTCCCCCTCGTCCTCCGCCCTCCTCTGTTTTCCAGGCGGTGTTGGACCACCTCAGGCATACAACTTTTGAGCACCGCCAGTGGGCCGTCCAGCTTTCCTGACGCAGCGTCGTTCGGTAGCACTGTCCTGTGTCAGCCGACGCATACGGACCAGATGATTCATTAACTGAGCTTGGCTGCGTCGCCCTGCGGTGTGATAAAACATGTGAAACCCATGGACTGCACCCCCATGGTTCATCCCATTGGCCCTGGTGCAACTTTGTACTAGCGCAATCCATGGCGCAACGTATTTCGGATCGACTGTCGTCAGGAGGACTGGCTTGAGATTGTCGTCAGCAGGGCAGGCTGGGAGGCGACGGGGTGGACGCCGGATATAGACAAGGCAAGGGGCGAGGGGCAGTATAGTCACATGGGTTACCATGGACCGAGGAATGGACGGGGGGTGAGGAGGGATGAGCGAATTTGGATGAGAGGGTGGCGGCGTGGGAGGACGCGGGGCCTGGAGGGACCTGGAGTAGGAGGGATGCAGAAAAAGAGAGAGAGAGAGAGAGAGAGACAGAGAGACACACACATACATATACATACATATATATATACATATATACATATATATATATATATATATATAAATATGTATGTATAGAAATGAGATGAACTAGGGGATGAGGGCGAGCAACGCGACGCCGACGACGAGGCCGACGGGCCGAAGGCGAGGAGGAGCAGGCCGTCGGCGCCCACGGGGCCTGGCCGTCAGAACGTCCATCGGGGTCGCGCCCGGTCGGTGCCCGTCGCCGTTTTTGGGCCGACGGCGGGGCCGGAGCGGCAAGCTGTCTTAAGATTCGCAAGTTCGGGCTGTCCGGGGCCTCTCTGGAAGATCAAAAAACGTAAATTGAGTTTTTTTCCCAACCATCCTGTGGTGTTGGGTCCTCGTTTTGAAGAGACGGTGGCCCGCGTCTCCTCTCCTCCTCTCCTCCTCCGCCTCCTCTCCCCTCCTATCATCCTCATCGTCATCATCATCATCATCATCATCATCATCATCGTCATCATCATCATCATTCCCAACCATCCTGTGGTGTTGGGTCTTCGTTTTGAAGAGACAGCGCCCCGCGTTCACTCCTCCCGCTGCCCCCTCCCTCCTGCCATCATCATCATTATCACAATCATCATCATCATCATCATCATCATCCTCATCATCATCATCATCATCACCCCATAGGGAGCTCCAGCGAAGGCCCCAGTGGCTGCGCTCCCATGCGCCCACCGCACCCATGTCGGCACACCCCTCACACGTTTCGTGGCCCCATAGGGAGCTCCAGCGAAGGCCCCAGTGGCCGCGCTCCCATGCGCCCACCGCACCCATTTCGGCACACCTCTCATGCGCTTCGTGGCCCCATAGGGAGCTCCAGCGAAGGCCCCAGTGGCTGCGATCCCATGCGCCCACCGCACCCATTTCGGCACACCCCTCACACGTTTCGTGGCCCCATAGGGAGCTCCACCGAAGGCCCCAGTGGCTGCGCTCCCATGCGCCCACCGCACCCCTCACACGTTTCGCTGGCCCCATAGGGACCAGCTCCAGCGAAGGCCCCAGTGGCTGCGCTCCCATGCGCCCACCGCACCCATTTCGGCACACCCCTCACACGTTTCGTGGCCCCATAGGGAGCTCCAGCGAAGGCCCCAGTGGCTGCGCTCCCATGCGCCCACACCACCCATTTCGGCACACCCCTCACACGTTTCGTGGCCCCATAGGGAGCTCCACCGAAGGCCCCAGTGGCTGCGCTCCCATGCGCCCCCGCACCCATTTCGGCACACCCCTCACACGTTTCGTGGCCCCATAGGGAGCTCCAGCGAAGGCCCCAGTGGCTGCGCTCCCATGCGCCCACCGCGCCCATTTCGGCACACCCCTCACACGCTTCGTGGCCCCATAGGGAGCTCCAGCGAAGGCCCCAGTGGCTGCGCTCCCATGCGCCCACCGCACACATTTCGGCACACCCCTCACACGTTTCGTGGCCCCATAGGGAGCTCCAGCGAAGGCCCCAGTGGCTGCGCTCCCATGCGCCCGCCGCACCCATTTCTGCACACCCCTCACACGCTTCGTGGCCCCATAGGGAGCTCCAGCGAAGGCCCCAGTGGCTGCGCTCCCATGCGCCCACCGCGCCCATTTCGGCACACCCATCAGACGCTTCGTGGTCCCATGGGGAGCTCCAGCGAAGGCCCCAGTGGCTGCGCTCCCATGCGCCCGCCGCACAGATTTCGGCACACCCCTCACACGTTTCGTGGCCCCATAGGGAGCTCCAGGGAAGGCCCCAGTGGCTGCGCTCCCATGCGCCCACCGCGCCCATTTCTGCACACCCCTCACACGTTTCGTGGCCCCATAAGGAGCTCCACCGAAGGCCCCAGTGGCTGCGCTCCCATGCGCCCACCGCGCCCATTGTGCACACCCCTCACACGTTTCGTGGCCCCATAGGGAGCTCCAGCGAAGGCCCCAGTGGCTGCGCTCCCATGCGCCCACCGCACCCATTTCGGCACACCCATCACACGTTTCGTGGTCCCATGGGGAGCTCCAGCGAAGGCCCCAGTGGCTGCGCTCCCATGCGCCCACCGCACCCATTTCGGCACACCCCTCACACGTTTCGTGGCCCCATAGGGAGCTCCAGCGAAGGCCCCAGTGCCCGCGCCCGCATGCGTCAGCCACACCCATTTCGGCACACCCCTCAAACGTTTCGTGGTCCCATAGGGAGCTCCACCGAAGGCCCCAGTGCCCGCGCCCGCATGCGTCAGCCACACCCATTTCGTCAACTCCCTCACACGTTTCGTGGCCCCATAGGGAGCTCCACCGAAGGCCCCAGTGCTGCCGCCCGCATGCGTCCCGCACACCCATCCCCTTCACACGTTTCGTGGCCCTATAGGGAGCCCCACCGAAATTGGTAGTGTCAACTGCGGTATTCACACCTGCACATGGTTGGGTCCTTCGTCAGGCTAATTTTTTTCTTTCTTTTTTATCCTGGAGCCCCTCTCGGGACGCCCCGGGCGCCTGTTGGGGCCTCCGGGGGCTCTGTGGCAGCCTGTGCGGTCCTGGAGGAGGCCTCTGCAGTTCTCCTGGTGGTCCCCCCCCGGGTCTTCTTGACTCTTGGGCCGTCGCGGCCCATCTCGAGAGGCCTAGAATACCCCGAATGTTCTTTAGACCACCCTCCAGGTGAGCCCAGGCCCCACCTGGGTCAAATCTCCAGTTTTGAGTCTTGTGTGGAGCTGGTGTTGTGACGAGCGAACAACTCACACCCATACCCATATGAGGGTCGAAAGGAGGGGAATTGGCTATGGGTATGGGTGCGAGTTCATCCGACAACACGCACCCATAGCCTCCTCCGTCCCCCCTATGGGTATGGGTGCGTGTTGTTCGATCGTCATGTGGGGGGCAATCTGGGTGTGGAAACTAATCTCACACGACCGGTGACGCTTAAAGGGCCCGTGGAGTTCTACGAGTGAGAGTAGCAGTTTGACGAGCACGTCGACGTTGAGCAGCACGACGGGTTCCAGCAGCACGACGTTAAGCAGCACAACGGGAAGCAGCCGCACGACTCAGACTTCTGAAAGTGAGACTGGCACTTTGTCGAGCACCATTTCGATCACGAGCACGACAGCTACCAGCACCACGACGTTGACCAGCACAACCGGTAGCAGCATGACTGAGAGCAGCAGCGCGACTCTGACTTCCACAAGCGAGACCAGCAGCGTATCGCTAACCAGCTCGTTGAGCAGTACGACAGAGACCAGCAGCACGACCCTGACTTCTTCAAGTCAGACCAGCAGTGCGTCGAGCACCTCGTCGTTGAGCAGCACGACGGGGTCCAGCAGCTCGACGTTGAGCAGCACGACGGTCAGCAGCACGACGAAGAGCAGCAGCACAACCCTGACGTCCACGAGTCAAACCATCAGTGCGTCGAGCACCACTTCGCTGAGCAGCACTACTGAGAGCAGCAGCACGACGCTAACTTCCACGAGTGAGACCAGCAGCATGACTAGCACCACTTCGTTGAGCAGCTCGACCGGCACTAGCAGCACGACATTGATCAGCACGACGCAGAGCAGCACCGCATCTTTGAGCAGCACGACGGTTACCAGCACAAGTTCTTTGTTCAGTACGACGGATAGTAGCAGCACGACAGGTAGCAGCAGCACTACTTTGACAAGTACGACGGAGAGCAGCACGACGCAGAGCAGCAGCACGACCCTGACTTCTACGAGCGAGACGAGCAGTGGGTCAAGCACTACGACATTGAGCAGCACGACGGGAAGCAGTACCACGACCTTGACTTCCACGAGTGTGTCCAGCAGTATAACGAGCACCACTTCGTTGAGCACCACGACTGAGACCAGTAGCACGAGTTTGACAAGCACGACGCTGAGCAGCACATCGGATACCAGCACGACGAAAAGCAGCAGCACGACTCTGACTTCTTCAAGTCAGACCAGCAGTGCGTCGAGTACCACTTCATTGAGCAGCACGACTGCTACCAGCACCGCATCTTTGAGCAGCACGACGGAGAGCAGCAGCACAACCCTAACATCGACCAGTGGAACCAGCACCCTGTCTAGCACCACTTCGCTGAGCAGCTCGACCGGCACTAGCAGCACGACGTTGAGCAGCACCACGGAGAGCAGCACCACGACTATGTCTTCCACAAGTCAGACCAGCAGTGCGTCGAGTACCACTTCGTTGAGCAGCACGACTGTCTCCAGCACCACATCCTTGACTAGCACGACGGAGAGCAGCAGCACGATTCTTACTTCTTCAAGTCAGACCAGCAGCGCGTCGAGTACCACTTCGTTGAGCAGCACGACGTTAAGCAGCAGTGCCACGGAGAGCAGCACGACGACTCTCATTTCCTCGAGTGAGACAAGCAGCATGTCGAGCACCACTTCGCTGAGCAGCTTGACAGTTACTAGCAGCACGACGTTGAGCAGCACCACGGAGAGTAGCAGCACGACTCTGACTTCGACGAGTGAGACCAGCAGCGGGTCGAGCACCACGTCCCGTAGCACCACCACCTCTCTGAGCAGCACCACGGACAGCAGCACGACGACTCTCACTTCCTCGAGCGAGACCAGCAGCATGTCAAGCACCACTTCGTTGAGCAGCTTGTCAGCTACTAGCAGCACGACGTTGAGCAGCACGTCTGAGAGCAGCAGTACGACCCTGACTTCGACGAGTGAGACCAGTAGCGGGTCGAGCACCACTTCCTTGAGCAGCGTGACGGAGAGCAGCAGCACCTCAGAGAGCAGCACCATAACCTTGACCTCGACGAGTGACACCAGCAGCATGTCGAGTACGACTTCGCTGAGCAGCTCAACAGTGACTAGCAGCACGTCTGAGAGCAGCAGTACGACTCTGACCTCGACGAGTGCGACCAGCAGTGAGTCAAGCACCACTTCCCGTAGCACCACCACGTCTCTGAGCAGCACGACGGAAAGCAGCAGCACCACCGTGCATACCACAAGTGCGACTTCTACAAGCCAGACCACAAGCGCGTCGAGTACCACTTCGTTGAGCAGCTCGACCGTTACTAGCACTACATCTTTGAGCAGCACGACGGCGAGCAGCAGTACATCGCTGACATCTACAAGCCAGACATCAAGTGCGACGAGTACCACAACGTTGAGCAACACAAGCCTTACTATCACCACCTCATTGAGCAGCACGACAGGGAGCAGCAGTACGACCTTGACGTCCACAAGTCAAACTACCAGTGCATCGAGCACCACGTCGTTGAGCAGCTCGACTGTTACTAGCACCACCTCGTTGAGCAGCACGACGGGGAGCAGCAGCACGACCCTGACTTCTACAAGCGGAACTAGCAGTGGGTCGAGCACAACGTCCCTGAGCACCCTGACCGCTACTAGCAGCACGACGAAGAGCAGCAGCACAACCCATACATCTTCAAGTGAAACTTCCAGTTCGTCGACCACCTCTTCGTTGAGCAGCACGACCGCTACCAGCACCACTACACTAACCAGCACAACAGGCAGCAGCATCACGGAGAGCAGCAGCACGACATTGACATCTACAAGTGAAACCAGCAGTGTCTCGCTCACCAGCACGACTGAAAGCAGCACCGCGACTCTGACTTCCACGAGTGGAACCAGCAGCACTTCGAGCACCACTTCGTTGAGCAGTTCGACCGGAAGCAGCACTACAACATTAAGCAGCACAACGGAAAGCAGCAGTACGACTTTGACCACCACGAGTTGGACTAGCACTTCATCTTTGACCACTACAATAAGCAGCAGCACCAGCACGCTGTCTTCCACGAGTGAGACGAGCAGTGCTACGAGCACGACGTCATTGAGCAGCACGACAGTCACGAGCAGCACAACGGAGAGCAGCACTACCACGTTGACATCCACGAGTAGGACGAGCAGTGTGACGAGCACAACGTCCTTGAGCAGCACGACCGGCACTAGCAGCACGACAGAAAGCAGCAGCACATCGTTGAGCAGCACCACGGGCACCAGCAGTACAGGCACCAGCACCAGTCCCACTTCAACGAGTGATACGAGCAGCGTCACGAGCACGACGTCTTTGAGCAGCACAACTGGCACTAGCAGCACGACGGAGAGCAGCACCACCACGTTGACATCCACGAGTAGGACGAGCAGTTTGACGAGCACTACGTCCTTGAGCAGCACCACCGGCACCAGTAGCACGACCGAAAGCAGTTCCACTACTCTCACCTCCTCGAGCGAAACCAGCAGCGTGTCGACCACGACTTCTTCGAGCAGCACAACGGACACGAGCAGCACGACGGAAAGCAGTACCGCTACTCTGACCTCTACGAGCGTCACCAGCACCGTGTCGACCACGACTTCTTTGAGCACCACGACGGGCACGAGCAGCACGACAGATAGCAGTACCACTACTCTGACCTCTACGAGCGTCACCAGCACCGTGTCGACCACGACTTCTTTGAGCACCACGACGGGCACGAGCAGCACGACGGATAGCAGTACCACGACTTTGACTTCTTCGACTGGGACAAGCAGCTCGACAACAACGACGTCTTTAAGCAGCACGACTGGCACGAGCAGCACGACGTTCAGCACCACCACGTCTCTGAGCAGCACGACGGGCACTAGCACCATGTCAATTTTCAGCACGACGGAGAGCAGCAGCACGTCGATGTCTACCACGAGTGCGACGAGCAGTGTTTCGACAACAACGTCCCTCAGCAGCACCACAGGTACCAGCAGCACGTCATTGAGCACCACGACGGAGAGTAGCAGCTTTACATTGTCCTCCACGAGCGAAACCAGCAGCGTGTCGAGTACCACCTCGTTGAGCAGCACGACAGTGACCAGTAGCACAACAGTAAGCCATACGACTGAAAGCATCTCCTCGACGATGAGCAGCAGTACATCAAGTACTACGTCGGTTAGCACCACGACGGGGACAAGCACCATGTCGGAGAGAAGCACAACAACTCTAACCTCCACGAGTGAAACCAGCAGTGCATCAAGCTCCACTTCACTGAGTAGTAAGACGGGGTCAAGCAGCACGACAAGGAGCAGCACTACGACTTTGACCTCGGCGAGTAGAACGAGTACTGGGTCGAGTACTACATCGTTCAGCAGTACGACGCGGACCAGCAGCACGCTAAGCAGCATGACGGGGACCAGTAGCACAACAGTAAGCCATACGACTGAAAGCATCTCCTCGACGATGAGCAGCAGTACATCAAGTACTACGTCGGTTAGCACCACGACGGGGACAAGCACCATGTCGGAGAGCAGCACAACAACTCTAACCTCCACGAGTGAAACCAGCAGTGCATCAAGCTCCACTTCACTGAGTAGTAAGACGGGGTCAAGCAGCACGACAAGGAGCAGCACTACGACTTTGACCTCGGCGAGTAGAACGAGTACTGGGTCGAGTACTACATCGTTCAGCAGTACGACGCGGACCAGCAGCACGCTAAGCAGCATGACGGGGACCAGCAGTACGTCTAAGAGCAGCAGGACACATAGTAGCAGTACCAGCTCGACTTCTTCGAGCGAGACGAGCAGTGGAACGAGCACCATGTCTTCGACTAGCGGCACAGGGTCTAGCAGCACGTCGGTGACCAGCGCATCTGGCACCACCACCACCACCTTGTCGTCAACGACTGCCACCAGCTCGACGGGAACCACCAGTGCGACCCTTACGCGCACGACGAGGTCCAGCACGACTTTGACCATCACCACGTGGAGTAGTTCAACAACTCTCAGCAGCACGACGGAGTCGAGCAGCACCAGCACGGCCTCGAGCAGTGTGACCGCTTCAAGTGGCAGTTCCACAAGCACCGCTACCTCCGTGAGCGATACAACCCTGTCCAACACCTCAACAGTATCTTCCACAGAGACGCTTTCTTCTACCACGATGTCCAGCACTACCAGCGCGTCCAATACCACGCTCTCGACCACATCGGAGACAACGTCTAGTTCCACATCGCAGACGAGCACCTCCACAACGACCGTGCAAGTTGTCAATACGATCAGTGGAACGATGCAGCTGGGTGCCCTGAACCCTGCAGCCTTCGTAAGCGATGTAGTTGCTGCGACAGCGGTGACGGACAGCATCGCCAGTCTGGTGGGCGTGGCGGCGAGCCAGGTGTCTGTGAGCTTGAGCATCACCAGGAGCATCACCAGCTCCGTGCAGGCCAGCTACAGCATCACGACCTTCGGTGGGCCTGGAACGACCAGCGAGCTCAATTCGGTCATCATATCTGCGCTGACTGCTTCCGACGTCGCGTCAGTCATGCAGGATCTGCTTACTGCCAACCTCCTATCCCTGGGGTTGGATTATGATGTGACGGTGGAGAGCCTCAGTGCGCCATCGGTCGACAGCGTCACGCTCACGATCACGTTGACGACTACGACGTTGACAGCGACGGAGACCTCGATGACTATCACAAGTAGGACGACGACGACGACTAGCACCACATCGAGTACGTTGACCACCTCTACCAGCTCGACCACCAGCACTACATCGACAAGCACCTACACCACTACTTCGACCACCACGTCCACTTCCAGTACGACATCGACGACGACCACAATCGGTGCTGTGTCGAGGGGGGGCCCAGACCCGTCTGTGTGGGATGAGTCGAGCCGCCGATCCAGTCGATCAATCGGTCGGGATCGGTGCCGTCGATCGCTTTCTCGATCGACGCCGTGGCGGTTTCGATCGGCTCGGGCCAGCTCGATCAAGGCCTGACCTTTGGAACATAATGGATCTGGGGAGTGTTCCTGAGGTGCCGTGTCTCTCGTCGTGATCCCCGCAGAGTTGACCCCTTGCAACTCGCTGTTCGTCCACGCTGCAATGCCAGACGACACAACCACTCTGACGTGGTCTTGTGTGCCTGACAGCTCACAACTCTGTGCCAACATCCTCTCCTTGATTCCAGCGGGCGCGGTCGTCACTACACTGCAGGCCTCCAGACCCTGCAAATGTGGTTTGAGCAAAAACGGTCCCCAGATGATCCATCATCGCCGATGCATCAGCTATGCAACGGCGATGTGGTGCGATCTGGAAACCGTTCTTCTCTTCTACTCCGGCCACTTTCAAGATTCCCCCAAGGTCTCGAGTGCTCTTGTCTCTGACGCGGCGGCGTCGGATGTTGGGCTCACGTTCCCGTTGTCTGTAGGGCTGGAGGCGCACGGTCTGAATCAGCACGGAGACCAGTCGTTTGGGTCCACCACCTTCACGTTCGATGTCTTCAGCGGCGACTCGATGTCATTGATCAAGGTACCCAGCATCACGGAGTACACGTTGTTGGATGATTACGTGCGCTTAGGTGCCAATGTCATTTTTTGCGACGGCGCCTTGGTTAGCGACAGCATCGAGATCACCTGGAGCTGGAGGAGAGTGGTGGCTGGTGGCGACGCACTCTGGAACGCGTGGACCAACGGCGCAGGTGTGGGGCGCACGTCTCTCAAGATGCCGGTCACCGAGCTGGGCGCCGTCGCGGACTACGAGGTGACGGCTTCCATCGTCGGGTCCGAGGCCGGGGAGGTCACGTTCTACGTGACCGTGGGCGACATCCCGCCTCCCGATGCCATCCTATCATTCCCAGCAAAGGCATCGAGGAACTGCGACTTCTCGCTCGATGCCTCGGACTCGACCGACCCAGGCGGGTCCGACTTGGCCTTCGCGTGGGCCTGCTCGTCGGACAATTCCTCTGGGCTCGCTGTCTCGGACGCAGCGGCTTCGGCGTGCAGCGCAGCGGTGGCAAACGAAACGGCCTCTTATGTCACTCTGCCAGGCGGCAGCCTGGAAACAGGCGCCTACCTATTCACAGTCACCGTCTCTCGCGCAGACGCCGAGTCGACCGCGCAGGGGACGGTGCTGGTCATGAACTCCAATCAGCCTGTGGTCTCCTTCTCCCAGCTGGCGGCGGAGGTGTCCCCACAGCAGCCGTTGACTTTTTCGGGCGCAATTGTCGAGTCAGTCGGCTGCGTCGCGCCAAGCTGGAAGGCTTGGTGGCTCATAGCGCCCGATGGTACCAGCGCGACCCAGCTGGCGGCGTCAACGGCGACCAGCCTGGTGGAGTTGACGGTGCCTTCGCTGTCCGCCGCATTTGGTAGTTATTACGCATTGCGACTTGTGCTGTCCAACTCAGAGCACACCGGATTTATAGAAGACACCAGCAGCGGAGTCTACGTTGTCGATTCCACCAGCTTCCTGATTGACGAGCCACCATCTGGCGGCTCGTCTGTGGTTTTCCCGAGCATTGGCAATGCCACGCTGACGAGCTTCACGTTCTCCTCAGTTAATTGGTTGGACGACGACCTGCCTCTGCTCCACAAGTTCTCCAGGTGCCTCGGAGCCATTGGCGACGGCTGCGACTCCTGGACGACTGTCAGTGCCTACTCGCAGAGCCAGACCATGCAAAACGTCCTGCTCTCCACGCCCGGGACAGTGACGATCAAGGCCGAGGCTAAGGACACACTCGGTTCTGTCAGCGCGGCTGTCACGGAGGTGGAGGTCATTGAGTTGACCGAAGATGTCAGCGACAGCACTCTTCTTGCCGTGGTGTCCTCGGTCTCCAGCTTTGGCGACACCTTCACCACTCTGGCCGCCGTGTCGGCGGTGGCGGACAGTTCCCGCGGTGGGAACCAGGAGTTCACCAGCAGCCTGCTGGACACCATGCTGGACAGTGGCGCCCTCGCCGACCCAAGCCGCGAAGGCATCGACGCCAGCACGAACACCCTCGTCAGCGTCGTCGCGTCGGGCGCCACGGTGCGGCCATCGCTCTCGAACGTCCACTCGAACGACACTGCAGAGGAGGTCGTCATGGACGTGCAGGTCGCGGCGAAGGCCGCGGCCAGGAGGGAAGGGGGGGGGGATGGAGGAGGCAGGAGGTCACCGCCCACCAGACCACCCCAACCTGACCCGGAGGCCTCAGTCTGCCCTCCGTTTCCGGTGGGGGGGGGGGGGTCGGGGAGCATTGAAGAAGCACACGTGTGGAACCCGTACCCCCCCCCCAACCCGAAATTCGGGTCTTCGTGTTGGCTGTGGGTGGCCTGGTCTGGTAGGTGGTCAGGAGGATATTGGGCGTGTCTCTTCCTTCTCCTTCTCCGCGGATGTTCATGCTCCGCTGGTGCTCTGCCATCGTGCGGGCCAGACTTGATCCGTGGCGATCGCTCCGGGGCCGTCCCACGGCTTCCTGCGGCTGTGGAAAACGTGGAGCAGCAGCAGCCAGCTGGGGCGCCTGGTCGCCCTTCCGCCCCCCTCTCGCTCACCCTTCATGTCCCTCTCCCCCTCCCCTCCGCCTGCTCCCTCTCTCCCTCCTCCCCCTACCCCCCTCCCACCCCCTTGGTGCACAATCGATAGGAATACTTCTCCTCCTTCTCCTCTCTCTCCCTTGATACGCCCTCGCTCCCTGAGTAACGGTTGCGATTGGGGTCCACATTGCATTTTGCTTGCCAGCGTGGACAACACATTATAGGTTCTGACAGGCAACTGCTCCCCATCTCCTATGTAAGGGTTTCTTGTCATTCGTGTGGAGCCCCTTCCTCGCTCCTTCGCTCCTTCCTCCGTCCCGCTTCCATTTGCTTTCAATTAGACCAGAGAAAAGCCCCAATCGGTGGCTGGTCTTCGCTGAGGAGATCGACTGGGAACCCAGGGGCCCGGGAACCCAGAACCCACCGAAATCAGCCCAGAACCAATAAGAGGGGACCCGGGAACCCAGAAACGGGAACCCGGGAACCCAGCCTGCTACCAAAATCGGCGGGAAATTTTCGCCAAATCTGCCAACTTTCGCTAGGACCCCTTCCTTGCAAGCATTGATTGGGGAATCACCAGCTTCTCGATCGAGGCTTCCTCACGACATGCCCTCAAAGCAGATGAGCCCCCCAGCCACGAAACGAACAAACCGCCAGAGACATCCCCAGCCACGAAACGAACAAACCGCCGGAAACATCCCGCTTCCATTCGCTTTCCATAAGCAGGCAGGTGAGGATGTCTCGAACGAGGCAGCTGCTTCAGCGCCCCAGGAGGGAAGCCACCAGGGAGTGTTGCCCGCGCCCGTTCGCGGCCGCACAGTGGGGATGTCTCTGGCGGTTCGTTCGTTTCGTGGCCTGGGGGCTCATCTTCTTTCAGGGCATGTCGTGAGGATGCCTCGGTCGGCAGGGAACGGGCGCGGGCGACACGCCCTGGCGGTCTCCCTCTTGGGGTGCTGAAGCAGCTGCCTCGCTCGAGACATCCTCACCTGCCTGCTCATTCCCCAATCAGTGCTTGCACTGAAGGGGTCCTAGCGGAAGTTGAGAGATTCGGCGGAAGTTTCCCGCCGATTTGGGTAGCAGGCTGGGTTTCCGGGTTCCTGTTTCGGGTTCCCTGTTATTGGTTCCGGGCCGTTTCGGTGGGTTTTGGGTTCCCGGGCTCCCGGGTTCCCGGTCGATCTCCTCAGCGAAAACCATCCACCGTTTGGGGTTTTTCTCTGGTGTAATGATATATCATCCCAGAGGGGGAGCCGCCAGGTCCTTGCAGGGGGAGCGGGCCTCAACGTGCGATGCGCATGTGGTGGGGATCTCCGCGCCGAGCAAGTGTGTGTGTGTGTGTGTGTGTGTGTGCGTGGACGCGCAAGCCGTGTGGTGGAAGCTGCGTGCTGCAAGCTGCGCGGTGCAGAGGCCAGGCGGTGCACGCTGTGCGCTGCAGAAGCTGTGTGCCGGGCCGTGCCGGGCTGCCACGGCGCGCCGCGCCCGCGCCCCATAGGCTGCCGGGCGGCTTGCGGCCTGCGTGCCCGCGCCGCACCGTGCGAGGAGCGCACCCGTGCTCCAGCCCCAGACCCCCTCGAGTAATGAAAAAATCATGACGGGAGGTTTTTCCTAATTTTCGG